ATTCAGCAAGTATAAAATGTCATTTCCAATCAGGAATTCTAAAACACAACAAATATCAGGAGTCTTTAGAGAGTTAACTTAGACCGACCGAACACAAGTCGCTTCTAGTCACTCGGCCCGGTGCACACAAACGTACTCAAACACAAAGCACTATTATGTGCTGGGCACCTACACAGTCCTGCGTGGCCGAACACAAGCCCTACATGACTGCGCAAGCCACAGCGGAAAGTTCCAAAAATAACTGCCACACACCTTTGACATTTATGGTGTTACACCCGACATGAATACGGCCTTCGTCCACCGATACAATGACTTCCGAGCCTCCCACATTTTGTCCTACGCGCAAACAAATGCCGTGGCAAGCTCCAGATAGAGCATTGAATGTCCGCTCATCTAAAATATTTTTGCTGCCTTATATTTCGAAAATATTAAACGAACTATCTCTGACTTTTATTTAATATGAAATATCTGACTTTGTTGTATCGATCCCGGAGATTTTATGTATCAGCCTTTCTGCCTTTATTTGAGGCAAAATAAAACACTGAGCACGCACGCGGGCAGGCGCACAGTTACTATAGAGGAACGCGAGAGAGAAATATTTTGTGGCTAGAAGTCGTGCAATGCTGCACAATGCGTGCGAGTGAGACCATGTGGTCTCATGTTAGTAAGACAGAGAGAGAGAGAGAAATTCTCTGTTCTGACTCCACTTATCACCTCTCCCTATCCTTCTTCCACACACCAAAAAACAACTGGACATGTGCCTGTAGCGCTTTTGTCGTAACGTGCGAATAGACAGTTTTATTTTTCTCGAGATTTTCTAAGAACTCGCTGACCTTTTCCTGTCTAACTGCCTCTCGCCGTAGCACTGTCTCCGAGATCCAACACAACATTTGATAACAACACTGCAACTTACCGACATCTCTTACTTCAAACCGAGCTGTGTTTGTCGCCTCAGGTAATCCTGGAAGCAACACCATCGCCGCGGCCTCATCCTCAGTCCCGGTCACCAGGAGCTCCTGGTCAACTGAAGTCACGATCTTCTCGCTCTTCTCCTTAGTCAGAGCTGGTTTCCTATTAACCATTTTTCCTCCTAGAAACACAAAATAGTAGTTTTCCTACGAATTTGAAAAGTCTTTGTTTGCGAACCAAGAGGTTTGCAGCCCAAGCCGAAGGCGAGGTCCGTAACGAGGTTCGTAAAGGAGACTTTTCGAACGAGTATCGGAAAACTGCTTTTTTGCCCGAGGAAGTACCAGCCTCCCAAAACCACCCGAGGGCGGAAAAAAAATAATACACACGGGAGAAAAGCGCAGTAAAACGTGATGGGCCCATAACCTGAAGGGTTATAGGTTGAGGAAATGAGAAGACGACTTTACAGATTTATTTTACCAAATTATTTATTTAGCTGACTTGACAAAAAAACTAACTGACGACTGACTATAACTGACTTTACGTGTGTACAGACTTACTAAAATTCAAGGAGAGCTAAATGTTGCGTGTGCACTTGACTATGGTCAAATCAGAATTGGCACACACCTGACTGGCGCTGAACATCCCTCTCCTTTAACACAAACACACATACGCTCGCGCAGACGCGCATGCCTACAGCCTATCGATACAGTCATGCACTTCAACAATTTCAATGATTAAATAAATTTATTTATTATTCCAATAAACTGTGCAAGAATATTTCGGACAATTTTATACTTTTGCTAATGTAAAAGAATTAACCCTTTTATCTACTTTAGAATAGTAAACGTCGAATGTTTCTTTCCAAACAAAATTTTCTATTTCTAAATCATCATTACGTTCTGTTTAATTATAAACTCCATTTTTATTTTTGCATCTTGATAATGCGACGTATAATTGACCGTGCGAAAACAGCGGTTTTTTAAAATATTATCTAATATTATTAACACTTTGACCATGAGACTCATTGATAGTCGTTGAAAACGTTAAGACTAAAAAAAACGCTGTGTCTATTCGCACCTTTTATCCACGTACGCGCATGCACCTCGCTCGCTTCGCTCACTCAAAAAAAAAATAAACTTGGACCCTATAAGTACCGGACAGTAGAGTTGCCCACTGCGCATGCGTATCCACTATATCCACGTAATAACGTGGATTTACGGTGCGTTTTGGTGCGAATAAACACTACGTAAAAGAAATTGTTTTCTGCATAAAATAAGAGGTAATGTTGATGAATTTCCTGCATTAGGAGTTATTTTTGGTACACAAACTCTCTCTCAAATTCTTTCTCCGGTTATAATTTTTGTTTAATATCGTATTCAAGTGATTTTGTAGTTTGTAATTTTGTACCGTTACGTAAGCTATCAACTATACTTATATTTCATATCAGCATTACAATTGCTCCCATTTTTGAATCAAGCTTATGCGGTGGCAAGCCTTCTCAAATATTGTTTAGAAAATAAATTGGAAAATTTATATGAAAACTATCACATTTATCAACACCCTTATAAGTAGTATGATCTATGCTGTAATATGTTTCTATTTCTAATTTTTCTTGATTTAGAATTTTGTTATTCAAAAAGTAAGTACATTCGTTGTAAGAAGAAAGTATCACACTATTTATCGAAAAGTTAATATCTTTACCAGATATATCAGAACAATCATCAGTTGTTTTTATTTATTTTGTAAGTAAAATGATTTAACTTTTCCTTTCCCAGTATTTAATAATACTTTTGAAAATGTTCTGTCAATTAAACTAATATAGATAATATTAAGTTTTAGAATACGAAACAATGACCAAGAAGATCTAATTCTTTCTTGAATAATCATGCTTTCACTTCTATTTTTTTTCTTTTTTTTCATACTAGAAGAATCTGTTTGAAATTGCCCGTTGGTTGATTTACACCCAAAGAGATATAATACGGCCAGAGAGTAAAACGGTTGAAAAAAAACAGAGAGTTTTTCATTTTTATAATTTCTTTGAATATTCTTGTCTGTACTTAATATAAGTCCTAATTATAATCTCATATTAGAATGTTAAAGTGGAGTGAAAAGAACTTATTAAAACTTTTTTTCCTGAATCACTACATAATCAATAAAAAAATTGAAAAGATTTTAAGGTTTTATCCCCTTAGATATTTTCTGCAATTTTAAACGAGACAAAAATGTGTCTTAAACATTTAACTGATTCAAAAATTGAGGAGTTGGCGCGCAGAGCACGCAGGGGGTGAAGCCTCAGTAGTATATATATGGGACGTTCTTTGTCAAACGGAACAAAGATCTACCCAAAATTCTGTAAGTCGTAAACAATGTTTTATGGGCGCAAACTGTCGCTTAGTTAGTAGGCTTTTTTTTGCCGTCTGGCTTTTTTCCAAAATTGAAAATGGCGAACCAATATTGTGAAAAGTTTGAGACAAGGTGCGTCACAGGGCACAACGTGTGGCAGCGTTGGTAGACGAAAAGGAACTGTGCAGCTATGCAAGCTAACGTTTGTTCAGCGCAACGGTCAAGAAGAGGGAGAAAGAGAGAAGACGCGGTATAGGAGAGAGAAATCCCCACAGTATGGTGGCTGCAATTAGCCAAAATCACTCTAAAGTAGCAGTTTTACCTCATTTATAATAGATTTGGACCTTCAAAAATTCAAATTACAGCTTGATAATATGTATTTTCCATCGCTGATCACAAATCTATGCTTAATTTCGAACGAGCACATCACTAATCCTTCCTCACCTCAAAAAACATCAAAAATTGTAGTCTTGCGTATTTTTTCAATATGTTGTACGTTTAAAAATTCTTGAAAAATAATTATCCTGTGTATTTTTAATACAAAAATATAAATCGACACTCTATTTTAGTCTGATATATCGCTGAATCTTTCTAACCTCAAAAAACTTCAGATAAATTAGATTTCCGTAGTTTTTGATCGTATTGTGCGTCAAGAAATTCATTAAAAATATAACCACTATGAATTTTTCATAGAATGATAGAAAATATTTATCACTTTTCATTGCGCTGATTACTGATTTTTCCTAACCTCAAGAAACTTCAAAATGAAGTAGGCATGCTTTGTTATTGATTGTATAGAATGTGAAACGAATTAGCACAAATCGCCAATTTTCTTATTTTCACTGCTGAATCGTAACACATATGTATATTTTGTAGATAATAACGCTGTTTGTCACTAACCTTCAAAGACTTTTTGATTAAAACATTTTACTTGGTTTCAAACAATTTTCGACCGGTATCAAATTTTTAAGGCTCTGAGATAGTTCCGGTACCAACTTGTATACATTTAGACCCTCTTTTTTTAATGAGCACTTATTAGTTGACTGCCACACGCTGTAAATAATATTCTTTATATCATTACTGAGTAGCACAGATGTTACAAACTCCTGAAAATCTGAGTCTTGGGAATTTTTGACATATTTTTAAGTAACAATCCGGCTTGGGATTCCTACAAAGGAAAAACTTAAAATAGTCAGCATAATTATGTAGCGGATAGTGCGATTCTTTTGTTAGTTCAATCAAATTATACGCATCAAACATAGCCTTAAAATTTTAGTGTATTACACACACGCACACACTGTGTGTATCTTTTGCTCCAGCTAAAACACATCATTGAGGCCTTAACTCTGCAAACTTACTGAAACTGATTGGAAATTGAGAATATTCTTCGGTAAAATTCTTATATAAAATCTTCACATCTAATAAAAGCAATATTTCTGGCATATATTCAATCGCATCACTTTTAATTTTTACTGCATCCTTTTTATTTGGCATAAAACGACAGTTTTTATCACTATCATAGTAGTCTACAACCTTATTAGAAATTCTGTCTGGTAATGTCTTACCCTTTTTTTTACTAGGAGTTGCTGAAATACCATCTTTATGTTTTAAATCTCGTGCCTTCTTATCCATTCTTAAAGAAACATTAAACTCCTCCATAATATTTCGTAATGTTTAACAGTCAGGTAAAATTGTCAGAATGCAGACTCTTAATGGATCGTTCTCTGACAGAGAGAAAATTTTTTCTTTTAGTCCATCCATTCATTGCTCCAAGTTATCTTCTCTTGATAAACATATTTTTTAGCCGGCTGAACTCCTTTATTATCCGGTGGTCTACAGATCCCTTCCTCTATCAAATAATTTGATAAATTTACAGTACTTGAATAACTCTCTTTTCTATAATTTGAACAAATAAGAGCTTTCTTAGAAATATTAGGATGCTTAGATAAAAAATGATTTAGAAACTTGTCGTAGCTCTATCCCTTGATGCCCTTCCTTACCGAAAGGATAACAACATCTGTCGTAATGAACTGCTTGGAAAGACTGTGACATGGCTGACGCATTAATATTTAAAACGCAATATTTGTTTCAAAACAAAAAATTACTGAATATATTACTAAATTTAATTATCTGAAAGAAACATTATTCAACATAAAATTAATGCGGAAAACCTTATTTTTGTTTAATATTTTTTTACCTCATAAAGCGGGTACCATATAATTATTAATTTAACAAATAAGCTGTAAGGTTCTATAAGAGATTTAAAGCATGTAGTAGCACTCACTTGCGTTACAAGCATATGCTGATTTTGGACTTCGGTATTAAATAAGATTTTCTTAGCAGGGTAGTAGTTTAGGTACATGGTTGTGACTAAAAAATATTTTTTCTCTATTAATTTGTTTGATGCATATTAGTAAAGTCGTATGAATTCTTTCGTCATGAATTTCTTAATGCACATAGATCAGGGCATACCAATATGCAAAGCAAAATCTACAGAGAAAACATTTTTTTCACTCAGAACCACGTACCTAAACTACCACCACGCTAATAGAATCTTGTAAATACCGAAGTCCAAAATCAGCATATGCTTGTAACGCAAGTAAGTGCTACTACATGCTTTAAATCTCTTATAGAACCTCACAGCTTATTCGTTAAATAAATAATTATATGTTACGCGTTTAATAAGGTAAAAGAATATTAAACAAAAATAAGGTCTTTCATATTAATCTTATATAAAATAATGTTTCTTAAGCTCATGCTTTCACGGTCTCATCCAAAAATACCCTGACTGCATTTAGGTACTCGAGTGCAACTCAAGAACAATCAACAACCAAATATTCCTAAGAAAACCAAAAGTGCTGTCAATAAATTGGTAAAAACCATCCTGATATATTTTTGTCCTTTTATTTTTTTTTCAAATCATAAACTTTTGCTATATTATCACCATTTATAGAACATAATACATATATTTCTCAAATAATATTTCTTTTGTTCTTTAAATAGATATGTATCAGTACATTGGATTTTTCTTCATATGATACGAATAATAAAACGGTCGGAAATTGTTTAAAACCAAGTAAAATGTTTTAATCAAAAAGTCTTTGAAGGTTAGTGACAAACAGCGATATTATCTACAAAATATACATATGTGTTACGATTCAGCAGTGAAAATAAGAAAATTGGCGATTTATGCTAATTCGTTTCACATTCTACACAATCAATAACAAAGCATGACTACTTCATTTTAAAGTTTCTTGAGGTTAGGAAAAATCAGTAATCAGCGCAATGAAAAGTGATAAATATTTTCTATCATTCTATGAAAAATTCATAGTGGTTATATTTTTAATGAATTTCTTGACGCACAATACGATCAAAAACTACGGAAATCTAATTTATCTGAAGTTTTTTGAGGTTAGAAAGATTCAGCGATGTGTCAGACCAAAATAGAGTGTCGATTTATATTTTTGTATTAAAAGTACACTTGATAAGTTTTTTTTCAATTTTTCGATGGGCAAAATGATCGAAAACTACGAAAAACTGCTTTATTTCGAAGTTTTTTGAGATTAGGAAGATTCAGCGATATGCCAAACAAAAATAGAGTGTCGAGATATATTTTGGTATAAAAAATCCACAGGATGGTTATTTTTTGAGAATTTTTCAACGTACAAAACGTTGACAAACTACGCAAGACTACAAGTTTCGATGTTTTTTGAGATGAGGAAGGATTAGTGATGTGCTCGATTAAAAATAAGCATAGATTTGTGATCAGCGATCGAAATTACATATGATCAAGCTTTAATTTGAATTTTTCAGGTCCAAAATTGTTTTTAATGAGGTAAAACTGCTACTTGAAGAGTGATTTTGGCTAATTACAGCCACCATATTGGTCCGCCATTTTGAATTTCGGAAAAATGATAGACGACAAAAGAAAGCTTACTCACTAAGCTACAGTTGGCGCTCATTAATTATTGTTTACGACTTATAGAATTTTGGGCAGATCTTTGTTCCGTTTAACAAAGAACGTCCTATATATATACACTAGTAGGGCTCTACCTCATGCAGGTTGTGTACACCAGCCCACTAACACAACATTGTGTGAATTAAATGTAAATGCTTAATTCAATCCAATTGTAATAATTGTTACTTTACGTATGAGATTGGACTTTCTATCTTAATATCTTTGATATATATTAACGTCAAGAACAAAAAAAAGCACTCAGCATAATTTTTAACGTTATTGATAATAACGGTATACGATATCCTTGAGGCAGCGCTTTCATATTAGTTCGGTCCGTCATCATAGTTGGCTACCTACTCAAGACGCACGTTTCAAATTTTTTAGTTCACGTATGTGTACTACACACACAAAGATGTACACGCATGTACAGTCATGTTTATAAACCGTAACTTTGTGTGGTGGAGGTGTCGTGACATTTATATCTACCGTCATCGCCCCCTGGGTTGTTAAAAATTCAAACTAGGGTACTGCTGGATACGTCAGTCAATGTCTTTGAGGTATCGTACACATGTTTGCCCGTAGCGTCCTCTGTTATGCTTAAGAATTAAACTTGGGCACTCTTGGACACGCCAGTCGATGTCCTTGAGGCAGCGTACGCATACATATTTATATAAATATATATATCCACAGCACCTCCCGTAATGCTTCAGTTCTAAACTTTGGTACTTCCGGATACGTCAGTCGATGTCCTTAAAGCAGCAAACGCTTATCTACCTGCAGCACCCCCTGCAATGCTTAACATTTCTACTCCAGCGCTGGCCGCAATGATCAAAAGTTTGATGCCAAAAGCAACCTTCAGGCAGCTTGTTCGTGAAGCCCAGTAGAACTCAGAGCTGCCAGTGATCAAGCTATGAACTTACATTGAGTGTGAAGTGAACCTATAAATTGTTTTTAAAATTTTTTCATTTCAACACTACATAAGATAACAAAACTGTATTTTACTGCAGGTTATATATTTATACAGTTGTTTTACTGTTTTTTTTTTAACTTCTCCTATCTCTATTCAAAAATTAAAAAAAAGGTAATATGAATGTAACTTCAACAAGTAATAACTATTCAATATCAATTTAATCATTTTTTTTACTTATATGTTAATAAAAATGTTTAAGATGTGGTGCAAAAGAATCGTTTCTTAATAAATTTTTGCTACTTTCGTGCCAAATGTTATCGTCTGAGGTACGGATCTCCTCGTGGTGTTATCAATTTGTTTCTCTTTAAAACTTTTTTTTACAAGAAATACAATTAATAATGTTACTATTCTAATTTTTTTTTTTTTATGCCACGAATAATGATTTTCTTATTTTTTAATGATGTTAAAAATATTGCATTGGAAATGTTGATTTAAATGTGTTTTTTTATACATTTTGAGTCCATCTTCATCACCAAAAACATAAATGCAAGATTCACACATAGGTACATGCTTCTTTCTGATAATTATGAACGTAAAAGTTTTTAAACATATGTTGTCGAACAAAGATTTTTGTAGGCCATTAACTTTAATTAGAAATGTACGGTATCAAGCTCTGTAAATCTGTGAGAGTAGAGAAGCGCATGCGAATGTCGACCAACGTTATCGTTTCATGTATACTTATACAGTATTCATGCACGGCGCTCCTATATACACACCAATACATACTTACACTAGGATTGACGGGTCCTGGCACCTTCTGACCTGATCTCTACACTATTCATTTCGTGCAGAAACTTGAAACGCCACCTGCAGGGAAAAAGATGTCGATGCTAACTAACAAGAATACACAGCATCAGATAGACAATGGTAGATTACAAGTGTTTATTTCAACAATAATAAATATTTAACAACTCATATAAGTTTTTTCGGTCTTAAGTAGCAAATTATTAGAAAATAATAATTTTTTTTTTAATTTATGAAAAAAAAGTTTATTTCTAGTATGAAATGGGTATAATGTATGTGTGAGCATAAAAAATATTACTTTTCAATGTGCTTATTTCAAAGTACTTCACGAAACTAATTTATTTTCAAGAGAAATCGCAAGACTTACTTATGAAATACAACCATAAAAGGAGAAAAAAAATGTTTATAAAGGTACTATTAAATAGGTGTTTATCGGATTTAAAGTATACTCAACATCCATATTACGTCAGTTGTTGAATATACATTACTGTTATAATAAACGCTTGTAAAAGATCGTTGCATAAAGAATTCTCTGTATTCTTGTTAGTTAGCATCGACAACTTTTCCCCTGCAGATGACGTTGTTTAAAATTTCTACACGAAACGAATACATTCCTAACTGGTACACCATTCAAATTATAACATATGACATTAAAGAGTCAGTAGAAATCGTTTGAGATTTTTTTTCCTAATTTATTATTCTTAAACTAAAAAATGCTAACGGTGACGTTATTAATCGTTTTCTTTCAAAATAACATTTTGAGCAGCTCTTTGGAGACTTTAAGCACCTCCAGTGGTTATACTATCTTCGGATCACTAGATGAAATTGAAAAACTGAAAAAAACAGATCATCCAAGAAAAAAGCTACCCGTTTTTGATTTGCTGCTGCCTCTTTAATTGGAACCCTCAAAAAAAGCCAAACAGAGTAGTAACACCTTGAAAAAACCATTGTGTATGCTGACTTACAGAGGTGAAGGGTACACGTATATAGATGGGTGATCAGTGAGGCGACAGTAAAAATCATTAGGGGATTTGTGGAAGAACAATAAAAACCGTGCGAGGGGTCGGAGGAAAAACTGTAGGGGAGTTTTACTAAAAAACCAAATATATAAAAATAACGGAGAAAACGAGCGAATTTTACCCTATTGTGTCGGGGTCTGTGGGGGTTACGTGGAATT